ATTAAAATTATTTGGGCCAGCCAGCCTTGTGGTATAGTGGATAAAGTCACTGTCTGCCAGACGTGCATTCCAAATGGGTGATGATTCACATCCTGGCTGCTCCTACTTCTGATCTAGCTCCCTACTAATGGCCTTGGAAAAGCAGCAGAAGATGGCCCAAGTGCTTGGGACCCTGTCATCCATATGGGAGACCCAAGTGAAACTCCTGGCTTCTGCCTGGCCAAGCCCTGGCCATTGTAGCCATTTGGAGAGTGAACTTGTGGGTGGAAGATTTCTCTCATTTTCTCTCTCTCTCTCCCCTTTCCCTGTCCCTTTCACTCTTGGTAAATCTTTCAAATAGATAAGTAATCTTCAAAAAAATCAAAATTATTGAAAATAATATACAGAATAGAAATATATTTATACTATTTTGGTATTATGTATTAATCAATTAAAACAATAAATGTAAAAACTTTTGGTCATACCTTGTTGTGATGACATTTTGGAGAAAAAACTCAGACAATGCTGGTGGCCACAGAAATAGATAAAACTTTTTTTGGAGGAAAATTTGACCATATGTAGCAAAAACCTAAAATATATGAGCTTTGACACAGTAATTCCACTTCCAGGAATTGATCCTAAGTAAACAGGGATGCACACAAAGATTTAGAAATCAGAATATTCATCGTATGCATTCATATATATATTAATAATGGCCAGGGACCACAAAGAACCTAAAAATACAACATTAGAGAACTAGTTGAATAAGATTCAGCATTTCCTGCCAATGTAGCCATTAAAAGTGAAACTATAGAGGAATATTTAGATACATGGAAAGACATTTGTTATATCTCATGAAGTAAAAAAAGTCACAAGCACTGTATAGAGTATATTTCACCTTAGGTAAAATATATACATATATAGGAATATTAATATCTCAGAAAAAGGCATTTGTACAGGTTATCTCAGGAATAGACATTTATAGATAATTTTCCTTTTCTTCTTGCTTTTATTCTATAATGAAGACATATCGCTCTTATAATGAAAACTCCAATAAGAGTTATTTTAGAAAGTATCAACACTTACTCCTCATGTAGGATCTCTATCCTTAATGTGCTGTACATTGAGATTTAATGCTATAACGAGTACTCAAACAATATATTTCACTTTGTGTTTCTATGGGGGTGCAAACTGTTGAAATCCTTACTTAATGCATACTAAACTGATCCTCTGTAAAAAAAAAAAAAAAAAAAAAAAAGAAATTATCAATTCCCAACTTGACTCTCACTGGGATTAAACATGACAATAGGTCTGCTCTGATTTCATCATCATTTAAAAAAAAATCATCTATTATTTTTCACTTTATGTTTCTGTGTGGGAGCAAACTGTTGAAATCCATACTTGATGTATACTAAGCTGATCTTCTGTATATTAAGATAATCGAAAATGAATCTTGATGTGAATGGAAGGGGAGAGGGAGTGGGAAAGGGGAGGGTTGTGGGTGGGAAGGACGGTATGGGGGGAAGCCATTGTAATCCATAAGTCGTACTTTGGAAATTTATATTCATTAAATAAAAGTTAAAAAAAAAGTATCAATGCTAATGCCCTACAAATGAATACTGTGAGAAATATTAGTCTTAGGCCTTACTGGCCAAAAATAATATTTAATTGAAGGCTGCAAAAAGACTTAAATGATGTAGGGAGGCCTGGGATGCTGCTGGTCTGAAAATGGAGCTCTGTGGGGTACTGCTTTAGGCTGGGACCACCAATGGTGGCCTTGTGTTCCAGAGCACTTGGCACAGTTTTGACCTGCCTGCAGAAAGGCCAGTTGGGAACTAGGATGAAAACATCGACACCTGTCCTGTCTAGGACAATGGGTCCACTTAAGTTGGGTCTACTCGGCATAGTTGAACATCCACTGGGCATTTTCCATGTCCAAGTCACATTGTTAAGAGTGTGAAAGCAACAAGGGACTCATAAGTTCCAAATTTTCATTTTACAGTTATGGAAAGTGAGGCCCGGGGCGGGGGGGGGAGGTGGTGGTGGCATGTGCTGCTCAATCAACACTCTTTCATGAAACATCTAACTGTGGCTTCAAGTGAAGTCAATGCCAGGATGTCTGATAACTAAAATATACATTTCCAGAGTAGACTTCCCTGCTGGGAATCTCAACTCTCAAGTCTTAATGAAGAAGAGTTAGCTTTGATACATGACTTTAAAGATGCTATATCTGCCCCTTCTCCCGTTCCTCCCATGAAAACACAAAGGTTACTGTCGCCGTGCCCAGAACCACGAAGTTCTCCGAATCTGTTATAGCCAGTTAACCTCATACACAGAGAAATACACACACTTATGACTGTCACAGGGTTGGCAAATGGCTTTCATCCTGTATATCAACTGTCACCAGGCTTGGCGTGAATGTTAAATTCCAAGGCAGTGCCTGGGCTGAGTGAAAAAGAGCCTCATGACTGATTAGGGATGCCTTGGCTGTGGGATGAGTGATCAACAGCGTCTTCACCACATATTTCCACCTTGGTCTAGAGTATCCGTTACCCTCTAAACAGTGTTTCTTCATTCCTCTCCCACTACTGATGGTTCCTATGAAACATTACTTTTTACAGTATCATTTCCTTACTCAACACCCCCATGGGTTTGTCTACATTTCTCATGTAGTAAATCTACTTCCACAGTCTAGTATTTAAGACCCTGTATGATTTGAAACCACTCATTGTTCTGACTTCTTGGCAACCCTACACAAAACCACCTCCTTGACCTCTCTGGCTTATTTCTTGAAACCAGGGTGCACATTGCACTCTAAAAGGGGCCGCTGATAGAAGCCAGGGGTGAGAGCTCATCCAAAGGGAAGCAACCGGATATGTATAACATAGTCACTACCTGGAGGACCTGAAGATGGAGGGAGGGCATTAGAATTGTTGGGCTATGGGTCAGAGCCTAAGCTGAGTGGACCAACTCTGGCTGAGGCTTGCTTATGTTGATGGCCTAGTTTTTTTCTCACTTGAGCAGCCTGTCATCAGTGTTAAAGCAGTGGTGTTTTATGGCTGTTTCTGAACAGATATCTGATACCTATTTTGCACATTTTCATCTCAAGGCTCTCGGTATCTTCTGCACCTCGAATAATCATTTCTCTTCTGCCTATTCAAATCCCACCCTTCTTTAGGGCTTGGTTCCAAAGTATCATAGTGAGGTTCTGGTCTGTCTCAACCTACTTCTCAGAGTCCTGATAGTTGACATCACTAATTCATCTCTGCAAGTCCATGCGACACTGACAGTCCCCACTAGCAGTTGCAGCCAGAGACTTTATGGACACTGACTCACTGTCTCATTCAAATAGGGCCGTCTGGATGTGGGCTGGAATATTAAGGTGTCTCTTAACTTAGATTTAAATACCAGTCTAAGGTAACAAAGCACCATAAACTAGCAATGGAATGCAGCAGCAGAAAGCACAATAAATTCTTACAGCCCACAGTTAAAATGAGACAAAATATTATTCCAGAATAAGGGAGACCGAAAGTAGAGCTGTTGTGGAAAACTATGAACAGGTTAACTGTTCCAGCATGCTGAATGGCACCTGAATGACCCAAAGAGTTATTTGATTTTAAAATAAGCAATTGCTGCACACCCTGTTAGTGACCAGGCTATGATTAATTGTTCTCATTGTGATGCTTCTAAAATAAAGATGTTCACAATGCAAATATTTAACATGGAATAAGTTTGGCATTTGAAAACCAAAGAAAATACACAATCCAAAACTTCTATGAATTCTAGTCAATGTGATGTGGAAAAACTCAACACCACGTACAAATGACGAGAAACAGAATGTGCTACTGGCTACTGTATCTGCATCTTATTTTTACCTTGATTAGAAATAGAGAAGTCAGATCTACTTATGTGCTGATAAACTGTGAGGATTCTTGGCTAATTTCAGATCATAATGAAAACTGAAGGTAACCTTTCTGTGCTCTAAAGATTTAGGCCCTGTGGCTATTAGGAAAAGTCATTACCAATATATCAATATGATGGGAACCCTTTGCCTTCTTGTGGCTTGCTAGTTGGCAGGTAGAATAGAAACTTTAAACTTTGAGCAATGGGAATAATTTGGCTACTGTTACCAACATTTGGGGTCACTGAGAGTTAGCATGAAGAGTTCTACCACTTTAACAGCTTTCCTTAAAAACAAGTTTTAGGATCAGGTTCATAGCACAATTAAGAGGAAATTAGAGAGATTGCCTGTATACTCCCTTTACCCACACATGCATAGGACTGCTATTTTTTCTAGGCCTGTGAAAGGCAGAAGTCTTCTCCTCTACCTTGACACCTCCATAGGTCCTTTGAAGGCTTTGCTAGCATTTCCATGATTCTGGTGTGATGATTGGGATACCTCTATAGTTCCCTGCTAACAGAGGGCACCGGACACATAGGCAATAACTTGACGAATATTCCTAATGACAGCTGTCAGGGAGACCATATGTGGTGAAATTATTTAAACACTTCCTTGAGGAGTTTGTCTGGGTAGGTTTCAGGCTCTACTTATAAAAGGCTGGCCTAAACCAAATTGTCTGGCTCTTGGAGGGTGCCAATATTGCACTTTCCCTCGACAGCTGATTATAGCTCTGGTGAGGTTAGCAGGAGTACTGGGGAAGTACTGGAGAAGGGAGCAAAGAAGAGGATGTCCAGGAGCCATTTGTCCTGCTGTGTCTTTCTCCAAGTTCAGTGAGTCAACCTGTATGAGAGGATCTGCATTGTGGCATCAGCCCAAGAGGTTTCAGAAAGGAGCCATACTGGAACCTAGACAAGCTATAGAGTCCAGACTAAGAACGGGACTCACCTCGTGTGGAATGTCAGCCAAGTTTCCACTGGTGAGTCTGGATTCTGTAGGCAATTTAGTGATTTCCTGTTGGCCACCCCCCACTGCTGCCTCCCTCCCACCTGCAAGCAGTCACCCATCCATAAATCCTGTCCAGCCCTGGATTTCTGCCCAATGTCTCAGAGGTTGGGCTCACCAAGGAGAGCAGAATTCCCAGGATCCAGGACCAGCTGTGTTCCCAGAGGAGATGTCAGCGCTGAAGGAAGGTTCGGTCCAGTGGCTGAGAGCAGGGCCCTGATATCTTCCAACTGCGCAGGGACTTCTGGAGGGTCTGTGAGAAGACAGATGCTGAATCAGGCAGGTTAAAAGAGCACAGGCTGCGTTAAGGACAGAGGAGTGTGTATGTAAGACATGCATTATCATTGCTGCCTTTTAAAATCACTTTTTCCTATGGATTAGGTATACCTGTCAAAGTGAGTCTTAATTTCAAGCTTAGTATTTGATGTCTGAAATCACAACAAGAACTAGGCACACTAATTTCAGGAGTTCCTTACTTATATCGTAGCAATATTTGGTAGTTATAAATTTGAGATAAACTGTAGTATAAAGACACGTATAAAAAGTCAACTTAGCATTTATGATATTCTACATCTTGTGCTAAATGGTTTTCATTCCAATTTTCAATTTTTAAAAACCCTCTTCATGTGATATAGGGAAAACCCTATTGCTGAGTTCAAGAATCCTTAGTCTGAGCCATGGTTCTCTGTCCATGGACTTGAACAAGTCACTTAATCCTGTTGAGTCTTAGTTTTCTCATCTGTAAAATGAGGTTCCCTTCCAAGGTCTCTTTCTACTCTGGAATATGATTTTAACAACTGGTGGTGGCACTTCACTCAAAGTTAGTCTCTCTTCCTCTTCTTTAATATTTCCTATTGAAACTCAGCAAGCCTTTGGTTATTTACTCAGAGCAAGAAGAGGAGGCTATATCTCATTTTCAAAACAATTAGCTCTCCTTGGGCTAAATGTCAGTTCCTTCTCATGTCCTCCCAGCTTCTACAGTACTTTTTTTTTTTATTCCCTGCATGTCCACTTGATCTTCTGAAAATTAAGGGAAACTCAATTCTTAAGGGAAGAAGTCATATTTTGTTTTTCTCCTAAAGCTCTACTAGTGTCCAGATGACACAGGACTTAGAAGCAGACTTAATGAATATTCACCCAATGATGATGTGAATAAATAAAGGAAAGTCTGTCCCATCACACTTTAAGTCTCCATGCCATAGGTTAAGTCACTGAACTTGGCTTGGAATTTCAGCTTTATATATAAAACCCTTTAAAAGTTAAGCAGCATTTTTGCTGATTAAAATGTCCATATATTTACCTATACAAACTAACAAATCTTGATTAATAAACCAATACTTCTGATTAGGGAAACCTGAATGTTCAGAACCTTTACAGTGATTTCCCCCTCCCTGGCACCACCATCCAGTTTGATTAAAATGAGAAGACCCTTCAAATATAGTGATCACCATCATGCTACATTAGAGTTGGACACAGTTAGGAACAGGCTTACAGAGCGCACACACTTCATTGGCAAAGTCACAGCAGCAGTTACCACCCTTAGTCTTATCTCTGTTAGCAGAGGCAACAAGGTAGGGTGATTAGGGAGGAAAAACCCATCCATAAGCACCATAACTCAGCATGGGGCCATGGTCCCTGGGTTCTAAGCTGAATACTAGCATCTCCGATGGATGAAGCCCCGCAGAAGACAAGTGGCATCTTTCTCTGAGACATTTTCCTGTGGCTTCCTATGATCGCTGTAGATTTTTGCAGCCACCAGCGAGATGAAACCTGTCAGGGCCTTTCTGCCATCTGAGTGGTCAGGGGGTGCAGAATCTATGTTTAGGTCTGTTATCAACTTTGGGCATGGAAGTCGAAAAATAAAGTTCAATTGTTTTCACTGAGAAAGTCTCTAGTGTGTATGTGTAGCATGTAATCGTTATTTCTCATATTATTTTTTTCATTTCTAAGTGCTCTAATTGCCTTTTTTAATACTACCCCACCAGCTCCCAAACTTAGTGAGAAAGAAAAACTAGGTCACTAGTCCAGAGAACAGAAATGATTATAGTCAGCAACATGGTGAGTTCAGCACTAGGTAACATCAACTGGTGAGTGGTGGCCTGTAATTGTTATTTTAAAGTATTCACATTATTCTAGGAACTGTACTAGACTCTTTAATCAGGAAGGGGTTCCTCTGTTTGGGGGGGTTCCATATGGAGACCTAGGTAGACTAGACTGAGCTTCCTGGAATTATATGAAAAGTTGTGCATGTATAGATTTCTCTGGGAGGAAGGATCCATAGTTTTTATTTGATTCCCCCCAAGAAGTACTTAGCATAGGAGTTCAGAATAATTGCTTCAATGCTGTCATCTCTGCTGGACACTCCTGCACCCCCTGTGCAAGTGGACAATTCTCATTTGGTGGAACTCCCCTCTGGTCTCTCCCCCGCTGAGAGACCAGCATTGGAGTCTTACTTAGCAAGGTGAAGTAACACACCCAATGCCACAGTTCCTACGAGCCAGAGCCAGGGTTTGAGCTCATATTTGGCCCCAAAGTCTGTATTCATTCTCTGACGGCTGCAGTGGAGAGAAGACAGGGGATACTGGTTTTACCTTTCATGTCCTTAATTGGGTTAGGGTGAAAGGGGGCAGAAGGCGGGTTAGGCAGTCACCCCCAGCAGGGTTCACCAGGCAGCAACTTGAGCTGCTCACCTAGGATCAGCAGCTGAGTGCTCTCCATCAGCTCTCCATGAAGATTGGCCGCCCTGCAGGAGTACAGACCCTGATCCGAGGAGGACACATTTGCAAGCAGCAAGGAACCCTCATGTAGATGGTGAGGGGAGCCCAGTTTGCTTTTGTTCCTGAACCAACTGACTTCAGCTTCAGGCACACCTAGGAAGAAAAAAAAACACATCAGCTAATCCCTTCCAGGTGAACTCAGGGAGGCTCTCCGCTGGTTCTCCCGGGGCTGCTGCAGAGGAAGCATCTGCCTGGGCGTCTTCCACCATCCTTGGGCCAAAGTAAATAATGCCTTGGACTTTTCAGTTGTCTCTAGATCTTTTGACTTTTAAAACTGACATTGCTGAGGCAGGAAAAGGGAGGCCAGTTAAAAGAAGAGGAAAACAGAGGCAGCTGGTGAATGGCACTTGCCAAGGTGGAAGGAGAGTACCTCAATTCTTTGGAGGAAGCACATTACAAAAACAAAAGAACAAAATGCATACACCCTGGAAAATGAAGAATCCACAACCCCAGGACACAAACAGAATGCTGAGTGAGCAAAGCCAGGAGCAAGAATACTTACGTGTGATTCCATTTCCGGGAGTCAAAACAAGAGCGGGCAACAGAATGCACGCTGTTGGTGGTCAGGTGGTGGCTCCCATGAGAAGGGGGGTGAATCGAAAGGGTTGTGACAGAGAGGGGACAAGGGTTCTGGACTTGGGGCTGGCTTGGTGGGCAGTGCTCACTTTCTGATATGTGTACTTTTCTGCATAGATTTATTTCAATAAGAAGTTCAAAGCTACACAATTTCAGAGTAGGAACAGGATAAATGAAAGCTGCTGGATTCTTTGTTGGCATTCTGTGGAAAACATCCTTGTATCTTCTCAGAACGGGAGAGCATGAAACAGTGGCACTGGGAAGCACCGCAGAAAATGTACAAAATCTATACACTGCACAAGTAACAGTGCACACATCCAAGTTTCCTGCTCCGGGGGGAGGGCTGGGGAGACTGTGCTGATGTGGAAGCAGTGCCTGTCTCTGGAAGTTACGCTGCATACTCTGGGGACAGCCTGTTTCTCAGTTAAGTCTCCTCTGGTTGAATTGCTGGTGAGTAGGCTCTAGTTTAGGACAAGCATTCCCACATGGTCTTCACAGGGTGTTCCTCCTGGGGCTGGGCTCTGAATGAGCTGGGAGACGGAAAGGCTTTGGCATTAACTCACAGGTCTCCAGGGAGCAGAAAACCCCATTTCCTTATATGCCCAGCCTGCTGATCCGGCTCACAATGTACTGAGGGACCTCTGTGACAGCATCAGGGCATGTGTAAAATGTCAAATCCTGGTTAATGGGGTCAAAGCCAAGACTAGACTAAGGAGCCATTTAAGTCCAGTGCTTTCCTTGAGTGGGGGCTGCATTTTGCCCTTCATAGTCAGCCACTCTTGGAAAAACAGGGGTCTTTAAGGAGTTACCTATGTATCTGTTACTTGTCCTGGAAGCTGGCAGAAGGAAGACAGGTAAGGGCTACTGACAGGGCATGGACACTTGGGTACTATGGCCTTGTCACAGCAGGGAAAGGTAGATCCTAAAACTCACATGATGTGAAAGTTGATGGTCAAGAGCACGAGAGGGGCCAGACTGGCTTCAGCTCTAAACACACCTGGAGAAAAGATAACAGGTGATGGGCAGAAAAACTGCTTTTTCATCGTAGCACCACTAGGGAGAGCAAGTGCATCACAGTGCCTGCCCCTGCCAGTTTAGGCTTTGGACCAGGAATTGAGTTTTTATTTTTGTTTTGTTTTTTAATTCCAGCACATTTAGAAGAAAAATCTCTGGAAAGTAAAGTTGAAGAAAAATACTTCCAATCATTTCTCTTGTGAAGACACAAGGAAAACGAGGGCCTACACACCACTCTCTGCCAGTGTTTGTCCTCTTTCCTGTGAGTAACTCCCTGAATCATGTGCGGTGGGCATCCACTGAGGAGCAGGGGCAGCCAGCACAAATCCCCTGCAGGAAGTAAAGGCTGGTCTAGAGCTGGAGAGGCAGAGCAAGCAAATTGGACTAAACAGTCCGAGTTCCATCAACAAAAGGGTGTTGTCCCAGTGAACAGGGAGTGAACGCTGTCCGACCCCCTGTGCTCACTCTGGCTGCACCACCCACAGCTCCTGCAGGGACTCCCTGCTGCTCACCGGGGTATCCTCTGGCCAGAGTCTGTGCTCCTGCTGGCAGCCAAGGGCAGAGAAGGGGAAAGAAGATGGCAATGAGAGTGACAGACAAAAAATGACAGGCAGGCAGGGTAGAAAGGAGAAGAAGGAGGGGCAGGAGGATGGGGTGGGGGAAGGCCCAGGGAGGGGGGAAACCTGAAAGATGTTTCTTACTTCCCTGGAATTCCTCATAAGCTTCCCTTTGTTACTCTTTGTCTTTTGTCCCTGTAAAGTCAGGCTTAGTTGAGAGGGCAGGACAAGGTGTCTACACAAAGGATTGGAGTCCTCTGGGGACTGCAGAGGGTTCACAGGGGAAATGGAAATGTTCAGGACAGCAAACAGTGGAAGTCTCTGTGAAACTGGGAATACACAGTGACAGCAGTCCCTAGGGCAGAGAAATTAAGTGGGACTCCTTCTCTAATTTGTTCATTATCATGGGTTTGCTGCTGGGGGGCTTGTTGCCAGTGTCTCACTTTGGGCACCTCAGCTTGCAACTGTTGGCTTTAGGCAGAGAACAACACTAACAAGATTCTTTGGAACCATAGCTGGTGCCTTCACTGCCAGCTCTGGCACTACAAGCACACTCATAGAATAAGAGGAAAAATAATACAGGTTTCATAGAGCTTTTTCCTTTTCTCTCAAGAGATAACAATAGTGCTTTAGAAAATGTCACTGCACTGAAGGTGCCACAGAGTCCCTTCAAAACGTCCCTGATGGAAACGTCTAACACGGATGTCCACAATACCTTGACATAGGGAATGTACCAAGTTAGGCAAAGATATCCTGAACACGTTAGAGGAAAAAATAACACTGACTGAACATTTGCTATAAGCCAAATGTTTCATATACATAATCACTTATTTTCCACAATGATCCTACAAGGCCAACAGTACCATTTACTCTTTTACAGTTGAGAGGAGTAGGGCTCAGAGAGACTAAAGAATCTGCTTCTGGGTGCAAAGTCCTGTCTCCCCCTATTCCCTATCCCATGGCTAATCAGTAACCCACCAATGGCAAGGTGGGGCCCGATACATAGGAATGTACCCCAAGATACCTACGTTAACAAGTGCGAGGGTACTTCAAGAAGTTCATGGAAAATGTAATTAAAAATAATTTTGTTACAGAACAATTTTGAAGTCATACTTATGAGAGGTTCTACAAAAAGTTCATGTGAAATGCACATTCTGAAAAAACTGCAGATTTCAAACGCCTAACATTTGAAAATTTTTTGCATTAAAATTAAAAATTCCACAATTTTTTTTTGACAGGCAGAGTGGACAGTGAGAGAGAGAGACAGAGAGAAAGGTTTTCCTTTTTCCATTGGTTCACCCCCCAATGGCTGCTACAGCATGCGCACCGCGCTGATCCGAAGCCAGGAGCCAGGTGCTTCTCCTGGTCTCCCATGCGGGTGCAGGGCCCAAGCACTTGGGCCATCCTCCACTGCCTTCCTGGGCCACAGCAGAGAGCTGGACTGGAAGAGGAGCAACCGGGACAGAATCCGGCGCTCCAACCGGGACTAGAACCTGGTGTGCCGGCGCCGCAGACGGAGGATTAGCCTATTGAGCTGTGGCGCTGGCCAAATTCCACAATCTTTTAAAAAATGGTAGCATTTAAAAAAAAAGTTTGCTTATTTTTATGTAGTTGAAAGGCAAAGTGACACAGAGAATGAGGAGACTGAGTAAGAAAGGGAGTGGGAGGAGGAAAGAGGGGGAAAAGCAGAGATAGAGAGGGATAGGGATATCTTTCTTCCAGTGGTTCACTTCTCAAATGCCTGCAACATCTAGGGCTGTATCAGGCTGATGGCAGGGACTCAAGTACTTGAATGATCAGCTACTGCTTCCAAGGTTTGCCTTAGTGGGAAGCTGGATCTGACGCAGAGGCAGGACTCAAACTCAGGCACTTCTATATGGGATACAGACATCCCAAGTGGTGGTTTAACCCACTGTGCCACAACATCTGCCCCTCTGCCAACTCTTTGAAGTACCCTTCTATACACCACTGCCCACTGCCTGCCATTATGCCAGATTGCTGTTTAGAGAAAATCTGAACTACCGTGTTTTTATTTCTGAATTGTCAAATGCTTTTCACCTTGAGAATTAACCTTTCTGCTGTAAACATAACACCAAGATTGCTGTTAGGAGGGAAGTTTCTAGAATCACTTTGTGCTGGCTCTGTTAGCTCTCTTGCTGAAAAGCTTGGTCAGGTTGTAGGAGATTATTTTTTTTCTACCCTTGTTGCAGAGTGACAATGTGTTCTACAGACAGACGTTTCTGGAAAATGACAGAAAAACACTGTCTGCCACAGCACAAAGTCCAATGCTGTGTTATCGTTGATCAGTTACTTTAGGCTTCTCACTTGGACTCTCTGGCATGATTTGTGTTTAAAAAAGGGAAAGAAAAGAACCCATGTTTGCGTTGTCCCCTTGTGGTGTATCTTACCAATGCCACAAAGCTCTCCCTGTTGCTTCAGAGGATCAATAATGAGTCTAGTCAGAATGGGCTGTAACTTGATATGATTACAAGGATTAGTGCCTTTAATCTCCACTAAGCTGCAAGGTAGGGTGATGCTATAATAGTCTTTTTCTTCTTCTGCCTTTAAAATCCCAAACAGGATATTCTTGTTAACTAAACGACTTGTTATATTTGGAAGGCTGCTTGAAACATGGCAGCTTGTCAACATCTTGAGGTGGTGATCTAAGGTTTACCTTTACATGATAAGTTCCAGAAGCTTCTGAGGTGGTGGTAGTGGGGGTGACTTGGTGCAAGGAGCTAGACAGGGAACAGTAAGTCAAATATCAGTGGCAATTGTTGTACAGAACCATGGTTGTCTGAAAAGGGAGGTTTTCAGCCTTCTACCTTTGGTGGTGTTCACAAAATTGGTTGCTTTGTTTTCCTAAGTGCCCAGCCAGGCTACATTTCCCAGCATCCTTTGTAGTTGTGATTGACCATGTGACTATGAAGTTATATGAAAAGTAGGAACTTTTGTGAATCTTACAAACCATCCCAACTGTCTTCCACATGTTCTTTTTTCCCTCTTTTGGTTGACGAGATAGATTACCTCCAGAGAAAACTTGGAAGGGGTTATGTTCAAGAGGCATGGACATCCTGTAATCCTGAATGACAGCAGGGGGCAGATATTGCCAGCTGATCAGAAACACTCTTTGGATTTTAGATAAGCAGAAATAATTTCTAATGTGTTGGAGCCATTATATACATGGAGAGTCTGATACAGTATATAGACTGAGCTAATTCACAACCCATTCTTGACTCTGGAATTATTTCTGCAGCACAGGTTCTGTCAATTTTGTCTCCTAAGTCCTTTGAAAACTTCTTTTGCTCTTGAATAAAATACTAACTACATAATAATCTTTGGCAGTGTACAAGAGCTAGTCTCTGCCTACGTCTACTTCTCAGCTTCATAGGCTGCTTCTTCCTCTTGTTCTCCTTATGACACCAGTCATAATTCACTTTTTTGAACATGGTATACTCTTTCTACTTCAGGCCCTTGGTACATCCTGTTCCCATTGACTGAAATGCCCTCTCCTTCCCCGATTCCTTATCTATTACTTAGTTTTCAGAATTCTTATGTCGAGAAAAACAATGTGAGCAGTCCAGTGGACTGGACCACTTTTCCAAGAAAAGCCTATTATACTCTTAATGCTGTTTATGCTTAGGAGTTGGGAAGAATTTGCAGGGCTGCATTTTAGAAGTTGAAAGCAGAAGTGTTAAAAGTTGTTTAAAGAAAAACTGCTAACAATTCAAAGCATAAGTCAGTCTAGGTAAATTAAATAATATTTTTAAGATAGACTATTATGTTTCCATTAAAATTATTCTTATGACAGACAAATGTTTAATACTGAGTGAAAAGGAAGCAGACTAAAGTATAAAGATTAAGGAAATACGCTAAAATGTCAACTGTGGTTGAATTTGGAAAGTAGTACTTTGAAGATGTTGTTTTCTTTCCCTTTTGGCTTTTTTATTTTTCTGTGTTTTATAGAATTTATGCAATACTGTAATATTTTATAGTTGGAAAACTGTATCTACATATCACATTGTATTATGATTATATATTTCATAACTTCCCTCCTTCTTCCCAGACTATAAACTTCCTGAAAGTTGTATCTTACTCATCATGTCTATTTGGAATGGAAGACCGCTGCTTGAAACTGAATTGGATATTCAATAAAAGGTTGCCAAACGAGTAACAAATGAATTTGCCATGAAATCCTTCTTCAAGGAGGCCCATATAGAGTCCCAATTCCCTGTCCCTTAAAGTCTGGGATGTCAATTGTCAAGCTAGTGTATTGCAAGCCACTGGAGTTGGTACTGCGGTCTAGAAAATTCTATACAGTCAAAAGGACCCTACACTCCCTGACTACAGATGGAGTGTAGACCAACAAGAATAGGAGGTGAGCAATAAGAAAAGATTACAGTAGTCAAGTCCAAGTAGCTCCTTCTGCCATTTAGCATTACTGTTGGTATTTCAACTGGAGACTCAGCTCAGGGATGACTTCCTTGTCCAGGCAATTCATAGTGTAATCAAAAGCAGGTTCATTCCCGCCAACTTTGAATAAATATCTTGTTTAACAAAAGGCATAATGACAGAAACATGAAGATTTATTTTAGCTAACCAGGGTTAATACACATGGGATTCTATAAGAAAAGCTAAAATAAAGACAATAATGTCATAGCCAGACACAAACTGGGTTTAACCACCAGGGTCTCACCATATGGTTAACAAGTGAGTCTCTAGATGAAGCTGGAAGACAGAGCCACATGCATGGAGGAATGGGCTAACACTCATTTGAATGTCTTTGACTTCCCATGGCAAATGCTCCCCAACCTGGACTTTGGTTCTGTTGATCTTCAAATACCCCAACTCCTTGTTTGCTGCCCTCTCTCCCCTGTTCTTTAATTCCTACCAATCCCAACTCCAAGAAGATACAAAACACAGTCTGTCCTCTTTCTATTGGTGTGTCATTCCCAAGAATGTGGTCACAGTGATCAGGTGGGGAGCCACTGTTCTGCAGGAAGCGCCCTTTGGCACCATTCATCCCTGTATACAGGGGCTGCTTGTTCAATGGCTTTGTCTACTCTCCATCTAGGAGTATTGAGCCTGGTGGAATTCAGTTCTGGAAGGTTTCATGAATGAGGCTGGATGAACAGGCAAGGGAAGTTTTACAAAAGAGAAGCTAATACACAATTACAAAGACAGATTTATATTTTGGGTATCCTGAAGACATCACGGCACTTCAGAGAAAATCTGACCTGACTGTTCATTGGGAACCACAGGCCCTAAGACCTTCTCCTACTTACTATAAAATGTGTTTTGTGGTCATATGTATGAGAGGTCCACATGAACTTTCAGATGAAGGGGCTGAGATATAAGATGAAGACATCTTTAGGGCAGGGGGTGCCACTGCCTGTCTATTCTGCAGATGGGGTACAACTGGAGAACTTGGGTTTAGGTGTGGACATAACAGGTAGGGTGTGTCTGATGAGAATGGTAGTCAGGTGACGGTAGCCACCCACTGGCACAGGAGTCATTCATTTCTTCACTCTATCATGGGAGTTAAATCCTTAAAACCTACATCATGGGCTGGTGCTGTGGCTAAGCCGCTGCCTGCGGTGCTGGCATCGCATATGGGTGATGGTTCAGGTCCCAGCTGCTCCATTTTCAATCCAGTTCTCTGCTATGGACTGGTAATGCAGTGGAATATGGCCCAATTCCTTGGGCCCCTGCATCTGCATGGGCAGCCAGAAAGAAGCTCCTGGCTTCAGATCGGCACAGCTCTAGCTGTTGCAGCCATTCGGAGAGTGAACCAGTGAATGGAAGATCTACCCATCCATCTCTCTCTGTCTGCCTCTGCCTCTCAGTAGCTCTGCCTTTCAAATAAATAAATCTTAAAAAAAAAAAAAAACCCACATCACAAATGAATGATCCAGAGGAAGGGAGAAACAGTAGCTGGTTTTTGTTCAGTGTTGGTGTTTTTTTTTTTTTTTTTTTTTTTGACAGGCAGAGTGGACAGTGAGAGAGAGAGACAGAGAGAAAGGTCTTCCTTTTCCATTGGTTCACCCCCTAATGGCCGCCGCGGCCGGCGCACCGCGCTGATCCCAAGCCAGGAGCCAGGCGCCTTCTCCTGGTCTCCCATATGGGTGCAGGGCCCAAGGACTTGGGCCATCCTCCACTGCCTTCCTGGGCCACAGCAGAGAGCTGGACTGGAAGAGGAGCAACCGGGACAGAACCAGCGCCCTGACCGGGACTAGAACCCAGTGTGCCGGCGCCGCAAGGCTGAGGATTAGCCTAGTGAGCTGCGGTGCCAGCCAGTGTTTTGTTTTTTAATTGAATGTAAATATCTTTATAAACAGCATATGAGGGTAGTTCAGAAAGTTCATGGAAAAATGAAATTAAAAGATAAATTAATTTTTGGTGAAAAAATTTTGAAATCTACACATAATATCTTCATAAAACACATTTTTCATGGGCTATTTGAGGACATTTAATACTATCACCCCCTACCGTCCATTCCTAGCTTCCCCCCTGACCTCCTGGTCCCTGTTGGCCATGGAACGTGTGAGGCCAACAAAGATGGTCTATCCTACAATTTCAAACTGCACCTGCTATCTGTTCTAATGACTCCCATCTACTTCTGATTTGAATGGGCTCCAGGTTCCTCTTGGATTTACCTCTGCCATTTCTCACACTCATCTGCCCCTTGCCTTTCTACTCTCACTGCTCTGAGGTCAGTCTCCCAATGCCTCTCTCCTAAAGTAGTATCATGGTTTCTTACTGCCCTGCTTATCTCAGTATTTCTCTTTTTCAATCCATTTTTATTGCACTGCTATGGCTTACTCTTCTAGAAGCATAGCTCTTTAGGCTCACTCTACCTACCTTTGTCTGAACTTGGCAGGAATTCAAGGTCTATTACGGTCCAGTCACAACCTACTTCATTTCTGTACTTGGTGCTCTATCAAGACTAAAGTTCACAGGGTTCCCAGTACAGCATCAAGACCTTTCTCCTGCCATGATTTTTTCCATATTCTCATCTGCTTCGAACTATTTTAACCCCATCCTTTCATGTTCACATTCTATCAGTATAGATGGCTGAGATAAAACAACAATGCCAAAATCTGACCTTGAGTGATAGAGAAGTGAAATGAAGGCCATGTTAATCTGCTTGATTTAATCATTCAATACTCTATATGTATTCCAAAGCATTATATCCATAAATGGATACAATTATGATTTGCCAATTAAAATATGAAATTAAAAATCATAAAACTTCTCTTATCACTTATCTTAGAATTAATCTTTTCTCTTCTAAACTTCTGCGGCGCTTCTCACTTTTAGAGTGTTTCAGGTTTATACTCCAACTTTCCTACTAGGACAGAATCTCTGGCAGCAGAATTTGTGTCTAATTTGCCTTTGTGCTCCTCAACCTAGAACTTTGTATCCCCTATTAATATTTGAAAGAACAAGTGCATAAATGATACCTGCAACTTGGCAGTTAATTGTCACGTTCACTCCTTGCACTGTTTTGATGGTGCCTCCTACATCAACTGTGACTGCAGGCTTCTCCGTGTTGATCACAGTCATGCGTGATGTTTTCACGAGTGGCTTTCCTGAAGATGAGGAAGAATGCAAGATGTTACTGGACAATGTCTGTGGCTTTAGGCCATTCCCTTGAAACAAGGGCTCCATAACCAACCATGAACAGCTGGCTTACTTGTTTTTTTTTCCCTATTATTTTTTCACTTGAAGGAGTTCTAACTGCACAATATAAAACCACCTTCATGGCCTCCTGCTATTGACCAACCACAGAGTTGTCAGAAAAAGAACAAGGGTTGATGAGTCTGAAGATAGAGCATGGTGTAGAAGTTGGGATTATTTATGCATTTTAATCACCAAATTAACAAATGATTCTACATTAATTTTTGACATAAAAATGATACATCTTTGTCAGCATACATGTAATGTTTTAATACCTGTATATCTTGCATAATACATTAGATTTTAAGACCTTATCTTTTTTAAAGACATTAATTTATCTACAGGTAGAGAGGGAGGGAGGGAAAGAGAGAGGGAGAAGAAGTGGGAAAAGAAGAGGAAGTTTTTCTTTTATCTGTTCATTCACTCCCCAAATGGCTCTAACAGGCCAGGCTGAAGCCAGGAACCTGGAACTCTGTCCTTGTCTTCCACATGAGTGGCAGGGACCCAAACACTTTGACCATCTCCCACCACCTTCCTACGTATATTAGCAAGGAGCTGGATAGGAAGTGGAATAGCTGGGACTCGAACTGGTGCTCCAGCATGGGATGCCAGGTGTCATAAGCAGGGGTTTAACTTGCTGTTTCAGAAAGCTGGCCTCAAGACCTTATTTATTTATGTTTTTTAAAACAACTTTTTACTTCGAAATATCCAGGGATTTACAGCATTTATAAGAAAAATTAGAGAGCAGACCCTTGTATCCATACCAAGTTTTTCCCTAATGGTAACATCTTACAAAACAGTACAGTATATATGGCTCCCACATTGATGCTCATAGTGTGAAGCTACAAAACATTTCCATTGCTATAGATATCATTCATGTTGCCCCCAAACCCTTCTTAACCCTTTAGCAACTGTTAACATGGTCCCAATCTTTATAATTTTATCATTTCAAGAATTTTAAATAAATGGAATCATATAGTATGTATGATTCTTTTATCTGATTGCTTTTTCCATCCAGAAAATTTCTCTGGCTGTTCTTCTAGGTCTCACAGGGTAGTATGATTACACATATCAACAGTCAATTCTTTTTATTGCTGAGTAGTGTTCCATGGTATAGATGGTTAGCCATTTACCAGTTGAAAGGACATCAAGGTTGTTTCCAAGTTTTAACTATTACAAAAGAAGCTGCTACGAACATTTCAGTGCAGGTTTCTGTACGAGTATAAGTCTTTATTTCTTTGGGATAAATGCCCAGGTGTAAAATTTCTGGGTCTTCCTAGGTCATATGTCAATTGCATATTTAGTTTTTTTTTTTCTTTTTAGAAAGTATCAAGCTGTTTTCCAGAGTGGCCACAGCATTTCACATTCCCACAAGCAGTGTAGGAATGCTGCGGTTTCTCTGGGTCAAGCTGAAGCTGGGGGGTTAGGAACCCAATCCATATCTCCCATGTGGATGGCAGGGATCCAACCACTTGTGCTATCACCTACTGCCTTCCAGGGTCTGCATTATCAGAAAGCTGGAACCAGCAACAGGATTTGGGAACTGGTCCAGGTACGGGAATGTCTGAACAGCTATGTCAAATGCTTACTCCAGATTGTTTTTTCACTGTTGAATTTTGAGGGTTATTTTTATTCTAGATATTAATCCTGTCAGATATGCAGTTTGCAAATACGATATCCTCATCTATAGTTTTTCTTTTCATAATTTAAAAGTTTGTCCTATGAAAGATTGTATTTTGATCAAGTACAATTTACCAATTTTTCTTTTTATGGATCATACTTTAGATATCAAGTCAAAGACCTATTCACCTAGTTCTAGATTCTGTAAATGTTTTCTTATGCTTTGTTCTAAAAACTTTATAGTTTTACATTTTACATGTAACTTGGTGGTACATTTTGAATTACTTTTTGTATAAGGTATGGGACTATGTCAAAAGTTTTCTATCTATGGATTTCCGATTGTTTTATCATCATTGAATGACAGGGGCTCATTCCTATACTGAATTGCCTTTGCACTTTTTTTTTTTAAAAGGATTTGTTTGTTTGGAATTCTGAATTAGAGAGAGAAAAGAAGAGATAGAAAGAGATCTTCCATCTGTTAGTTCACTGCCCAGATGGCTGCAATGGCAAGGGCTGGGTCAGGCTGAAGCCAGGAATCAGGAACTTTATCTGGGTGTCCCACATGGGTGTAGTGGCACAAAGACTTGGGCCATCTTCCAATACTTTCCCAGGTGCATTAGCAGGGAGCTGTACTGGAATTAGAACAGGTGGGACTAAGACCAGTGATGATATGGGATGTTGGCATTGCAGGTGGTAGTCTAACCTGCCACACCACGATGCCAGCCCCATCCTTTATACCTTTGTAAAAAATAGTTGGATATGGGAAGCAGTCCAAATAGCAGACTCATAGAATGACAATTGCTTTAAATAGCAATCTGACCTCAGAATCAGACCTTAAGGCATTCTGGTCTGGCTGTAAAGCCCATGAGAACATTTTAGGCATGGAAAGCTAAGACACTGTGGCAAAAAATGTCCTACTTAAAGGATCTCTGTGAGTGAGAGCCCTGCATAAAGAAGTAACCATCAAAGAAGGAAGTACTTTTCTCTGAAGGGAGGAGAGAATTTCCACTTTGCTTATGGTCTTGTCTAAGTACTAATGGAGTTCGTGATTCAAAAGGCTTCCATAGCCTTGGCAGATCATGTAAAGAGCCTTGGGTGATTACTAATACTATACATAAGAGTGTTAATTGTTAAATTAACAAGAGGACTCACAGTGCACTTACTTCCCATGCAGGACCCCTGTCCTCAATGAGTTGTATTATAAGAATTAACTAAAACTTGTTCTCAGTTGTGTGTGTGTGTGTGTGCACACAAATTGTTGAAATCTACTTAGTACAGAGTTGGTTTTCTGTGCATAGTTAACTGAAAACGAATCTTAATGGAGAATGGGACTGGGAATAGGAGAGAGAGGAGGAGGTGCGGTGGGAGGGCAGGTATGGTGGGAACAATCACTATATTCCTAAAGTTGTACTTATGAAATTTGTACCCATTAAATAAAAGGTTTCTTTGGGGGAAAAAATTGGATTAATTGTGTGGCTTTACAACTGGGCTCTCTCTCCTGTTCCACTAATCTATACGTGTCCTTCCTCAACCAATACCATACAATCTTAATTACTACAGCTACATAATTAACTTTTAATCTGGGTAGGCTTATTTCTCCTGACTTATTCTTCTTTGCTAATTTACTTCCTTTGGCTTTTCATAAATCCAGGGAATTTCCAAAATTCATGGAACAAATAATTACAAGAAATTTTGGTTGAAAAACGTTTGAAATCTGTTTTTAAAAACACATTCTCGTGAACTTTTAAAAACCCTGTCATATGGATTTCAAAATTTGTTTGAAATATAATAAACTCAAAATAAACTCAGCAGTTCATCAGCTTTTGAAATTGTTCTAATATATTTTAGAATAATCTTGTCTGCATCTATAAAATCTTGCTAGGATTTTGATAGGAATTACATTAAACCTGCATACCAAAGAGAGGAAGAATTAACATTTCACTGTGTTGAGTTGTCCATTCCACGAACACTGTATGTCAATCTTCCTTCTTTCATCAGAGTTTTGTAGTTTCAAGGATACAAGTCCTGTTATATTTTGTTAGATTTATACCTAACTACTTTGGTTTTATTTTGAGGGATGGTAAATGACATTTTATTTTTAACTTCAGTGTTCACTCCTGGTATACAGAAATATAATTGCTTTTTGTATCACTTGTGTCTTTGCTAAACTTACATTAGATTCAGAATTTTTTTGATTCCCTGGGATTTTTATGTAGATAAACATTTGACCTGTGAATAGGGACAATTTTCATTTATTCTATTTTAATGTTTGTCTCTTATTTTCTTTTCTTCCATTATTCCACTAGATAGGACTTCTAGGATTATGGTAAATAAGAGTGATAAAACTAAGTTTTGGGTGATGAGTGACTTTCAATGGAAACCTGGATTTTTGCATTATATTATAAGACCTGGGATCTTATTTATAGCTCCTATTTTAGCTGGCTTTATTTGAAGTCATGCTATGGGAACAGCAAGATGCTACCTCTGTTAATCCCCAGTGTCAGTAGAAGTTCGGGTTCCCCACTCAGCTTCCATTATTGGGGTTGGCAGCCCTAATTCCGGATGGGCAGGGTTGGGAGTTCTGGCTCCCTCCATGATCTCTACTGACAACACTGTAGAAGGAATCTCGTTAGTGCTAGAAGCTGGTAACATTCCTGATTCTCCAGCAGGCCTTCTCTATGACCACTCCACTGGGGAGGGGAAGGAGGGTAGTTTAGGGTGAAAGGCAACTTGAGAATCCTCATGAGGTCTCTGAGCTACTCTCTGGTGGGGATGAAAATCCTCACCTTCTCTGGACAGCATTCCACGTGGGTTTGGCACACCTCATTCTGTCTAGGGGACAAGTGTAGGCTCCCTTCTCAGCTTTTACTGGTGCAGGCAGAGTTTAGCTATAGCAGAATGGTATTTTCTAAAAGTTTTTTGTACTCCTACGCTGCGTCTTTCCTGATCCTTTTCCTGGAGCAGACTTTTAGTTGGGGCTTGCTCTTTTTCTCTTTTGGTACTCACTGGCATTTCTTGTATTCAATTATTTCAGCTCCAAGTTTGGGATTTATGAGGCAAAAAAAAAAAAAAAAATTCCCAAGGAGTTCCATAATTGTATTGTTTCTCAGTTTCCAAAACTGTTAGCCAGTTTTCTTTCTTTTGTCTAGTTTTTAACCTTCTGTTTTACATATAATAAGCAAAAATTTCAGTTGTATTAACCAGGATGAATAGGGAAATTTATACCATCCACTCCACCTTCGTAGAAGTTCTGGGTATATCACACTGTAGTGGGCCTTTGTCAGCATTTCAT